GACTGGGCTGATTGAGTGCACTGGCTTGATGCGGCGTTGAAGCCTGTTCTGAGGTGCATAAAGGCAATTAGTGTCTCGTGGTAGGAAACTCTTCATCAATTTATGCCCACTTCGTCCATAAACGCATTATTCAAGGAAATTAAACGTCTGTGTAAAACTGCTCCTTGATAAATTAACGCCTATAACAATCAGAAAACTGAACAAAGAGCTTACCTACAGCAACGAACGTAACCCGGTGAGTGATGTGACTGATAACAATGTTGGCTACTTAACACCATGTATGCACCAATCGGGCTAGTTTCCTGCTAAACGGTAAAAGTGGGGGCGTAAAAATGATGGACGCTCTACTGAAAGCAGTCGTGTTTCTGGCCGATTGTCCTCGAGTAACGGCTCGCTCCGACCCTGTTAGATATGTCCGGAACGATACAGATCGATGGTACAGTGCGCCGATGGTGTCACGCGCAGAGTTTTATCCGCATAAATTCTTCGGTCGATAAAGGACTCTTGCTTCCAGTAGAAGATCCTGAAATAATTCAATATGGAAGAATCCGTGTCACCGGCACGCGAAGCCATTATTAACCCGAGAAGCAGGTTTGACGGTATTATGTATGTCCGGGTGCACTGTAACTGTGCATTGTATATGCTATGTTGGGTTTCCATATTCGAGGCATACCCGACCTTTCTCTGACTGCAGGTCGCCGCTGTCTTCAAACAGCTCAACGGCTACATATCGATTTTAGTTCGCAGAGTCTGTGTCTGTAGATCACGAGTATGACTGATCTCTCGGCTTTAGTTGAGGCGTGACTGTATTTATGACTATGACTGAGCTCACACGTTTGTCTCAGCACTGTGACTGTAGCCGTGACGGGCTAACAATTGCACGGACATGGTGACAGTAAGTCTGAGCGCCGATCATGGTGCGAACAATGCCCGTCAGGTGTCTCTTCAACCCTATGGGAGGGGGGTAGGGGACGTCAAGGAGGAGTCACGCCGCAGTCTGTCAGTGGTGCACCGTGCTGACTCACGAGTCACGATGGCTCAGAGAGGCGTGATAGCGACTCACGACGACTCAGTGAGCGTGAGAGCGACTCACGAGACAAGAGGGGAGGATGGGTTGACACAAACGAATGTTTTGGATTCGAGATATTGGAGGGAGAAACAGAGGGACAGGGAAAGAGAGAGAGAGGGAGGGAGAGAGAGGGTGAGAGAGGGAGGGAGGGAGGGAGAAAGGAAGAGAGGGAGAGAGGGAGAGAGAGAGGGGGAGAGAGGAAGAGAGAGAGAAGCAAAGAGATAGAGACATAGAAAAAGAGAAAATGTGACCGAGTCTTTACCGCAATGCAATTCGAAAACCAAGCTCACCATGCCTCCACATGTCTGACCGCCAACGGAACCGTTCCCATTGCTCAAGTGATTGACAAGCTAGCCGTTTTCGATGTCCAAGTGGTCCACCACGCGTCTTCAATGTCCTCCTGCCATCAGCGGGCCCCGGCTTGGAGTCGCGCAGTGGCTATCGCCGCGGCTCGGACCGGGATGGCGGTAAATCATTGGACACGCAGTCGACCGACCGGCAGCCTCACCGCAAATTGGTTGTCCCCAGTCACGCAACACAGAGGAGTGTACAAATTGCATTGATGAGCTCACAACATGCTATCACGCGAATCATGTACAAGTTTATTCGATATCCATCGGCAGGTTTGGCAAAAGCATTCGTCTTCAGCAGGGGGAAGTTATTCATCAACATGATAAGTCGTAGTGGCTGAGCTGGGCTGACGTTGAAGGAATGGTCGCCCGTACGGCATTGGTAATGACAATGCTCATGTTCTGTGTCTGGGCTGTATGGGGTAATCGTAGTGATCGCGTCATATTCGGAAACGTGGGCTAAAAGTTTGTGATTCGTGATGAAGAGAATGACGCAAAAGAGAATGCACGGAAATATTTCATCGCTTTTGATTGTATTTTTTTTTTAGCAAAATTTTACCTATAAATGCATTCGATCTGGCTGCGTATACATAATAATTATGTTTGGGAATTGGGAGCACATTTTCCCGTTAGTAAAGACCATCGATTTAATGAAAATGTTTTAAGAGAATAGCAAACAGATTGCTCCAACAGAAACAGGTCAATAAATAGTTGAAGGATTTCGCATCAGACATATCTCGAATACGAGCTGTTATGCAATGAACTGATGCAGAACGACGAACTTCAAGAAACTGACAGGATTTCTCACTTATGTTGGTGCTCGTCCCTGGCATTATTCTCATTTTATGAATTGGGGATGTCGTCTGGATGAAAACATGTTAGATATGCGTACCAATGTCTTAGGGTATGCAAGGTGCATTGTGCATGGATGATGTGTGCCAAGGTCTGGTCTTACGCTCAGCTGCAGGGAAGCCATGTTGCCACGCATGCAGCATCCGTCACTTCTGTGGACCGTTAATTAGATGGGTGCCTACTTAGCGCCAGTTAGCGCATGCAATGGTACTTAGACCTCGAGTCCCATCCGTGGGAATCTTGTCATCACCTTTTCACACATGGCATAAGTAATATTGTCATTTTATCTTTAACAGGTAATGGCATATGGAACATCGCCGTGATAGAAAATAAAGAAACCATGGGTAAATAAATAAAAGATAGTGACGGGTACAATAATGTGACCGCGCCCACATTGTGAGTTAGGGCAGCAGCAGCTCGCCCTAGGGCTAGTTCATAATTTTCTCTCATTGACGTCACTTTAATCTAGAGCAGCGTTTAATGAGTGCATTCATTAGCGAGCACCAGCTGATGTCCTAGCCGTTGGTGACAGCGACAACCGTTCGCACTTGGCTCCCGGCAAAGGCGCCCTGAGCACGATTGAATGAAGCTAACTTCTTCCAGCAGAGAAGAGAAAGGGTTGCCACTAATTGACTTTATGCGCTTTCAAACATATTGTAAGTTTAGTAAATGACTGTACTCGAGATCTGATGGCTTGTCTTTTTTCAGTGCCCGCCATTCCCGCTCCCCGACCTCCGTTTCTGAATTCAGCTGGGCGTTTATTCGTTTTCACTCTCTATAGACTACTGTCCGTGACGCGGCTGGCTTGTTGACCTTGTTCCAGTTTGACCCCGGCCCGACCCTGCGTGGGAACAGCTCCCGCCGAGTGCGTGGGGCGCCGGCGGCCCGTGTGGGCGCGCCCACACCACGCCGGTGACGTGATGCCACTGCCTCCGTTCATAAATTGAATCCCCCATTAGCATACATCGTCCACTGCGGCGCAATCGCTCAGTGCCGAATCAACAAGGGCATCCCTCAGACGTGACGTCACGGCCGAGGTCAAGGTCACGCCGAGTGACCGGGGTCAGGTCGGTATAGGAGCTGACGCTGAGGGATGCTGCCGGACGCTGTTTCTACGCTAAGTGTGGCATTGATCAGACCAGAGCAGATCTTCTCACCGGACTGACAGGCGGAGGGGCGTCACCGCCGCCGTCGCCGCCTCCACCGGCGGCTGCCGCCCACAGTCGATGTCAAATGACGTCATTTACAGTCAGCTGTTGGTGAACAGGACGCCGTGCTCGGCGCAGCGATTGGCGCCGACAGACGATGCCACCCGACTGAGAAATGACTGGCTCGTTATCTGCGGCGACTTCGGGGTGTCGCCAGCCGGCCGGGCCGCGAGCCGAAAACAAATGGATTCGTTGCTGTTTCATGTTCTGAGATGACGACAGCTGATAGAGGTTGCTACGACACAGCCGCAGAGAGTCTTCAGTCTTCCCTTTGGAGAGCCGAACAACCGCGATGAACATTTATTTTTATTGCGCGAATAAAGCAAGCAAGTGATGACAGCGAATACCTACAGCAAGCATGACTTCTTGTATAGCACAAGCAATCTAGCCGGGAATGTGAGCATGGACAGCCTCGTCATTCATGGATCTCAGTACCAGACTTCAGTTGAATAGTGAACACCCTGAAGGCATGAACTGCTGAGCCAGTGCGCTATGGCTCACAATCCAATGACGCATATCGCTCCTGGTAAAAGGGCGTTGGTATGCGGGGCCAACGAGTCCTCTCCCTCATACCTCCCCCCTCCCCCACCCCAACTCCTGAAGGCATGCTTGTCACGCATTGCGCCGACAAGCCCGGATTTGCATGGCGGTTTTCTGGGAAACGGGCCATCCGCCGCGTGCCAGCGACTGCGCCTGGTGTCGCCGGCGCCGGTGATGCTGGAGATGTCAGTTGAAGTGTCGATCGGGTGTCAGAGATGACATCGACATGTGAGGTCGAGAGATGGTGTCAGAGATGGTGTGTCAGTTGTGTCAACTATGTCGCAGTACGGTGATGTAAGAGTGTCGGTGGTCTCCAAGAAATCGTCAGTTGCTCATGATGGTGTAACCATACGAAGGACATCCCGTCCCTGGAATGTTCTTTGCTCTTGGTGGAGCGGAAGTACGTCAGTTGGAAATTGGAATGATGCAGCATCAGTTGGATACGACCTTTGTGATGTCTTGCATAGTTCGTCGCGTCATCTGGAGGTCGACAGCTCCAGTTGGCATCAGTTGAAGTCAGATTTAGTCAAGTGACGTTGGTTGAATTCCACCGGCGTCACAGGGTCGTGCTCCTGGGGTGGAGCGGTCAGTGGTGTCTCATGTCCATCAGTAAGATCATGCAGGACGTGCGCCCGACGCCGACACGCACCTCGCGCCGCACCGAGTGTGACAGGCGCTCATGTGCGGCGCGTGGCCCATGTTCGACAGGCGTCACACCCTAGACACTTGTCCCCTGGAGATCCTTTACAAATGGATGGCCGGTCGTGAGCTCAAAGATCCGGTCATGGTTCGGTGGTGCTTGTAGATCGTCCAGGGAAATCCAAAAAGGGGTGGCTCGTCGGAACGTGCCACACATACATATTCTCAGGAACTCAAACAGATACGAGCAAATACATTATTCATTCTTGAAAATATAAACTAAAGCAGGATAGACGATAAAGATGAAAGCACCTGCTTCTTTGCTCATGCTCAGCATGCCGTCATGTTTGTGCTGAGCTGATAGGCACATGTTTTCATGCAAAATGACATGTTGAAGGGCTTGAGTCACATAAGATTCCCGTTGACCTGATGTATTTGTACCGGTCGCATGCAAACAAAGAGGATGTTGACACAAGCCGACAGGGTCCGAACAAGTTGTACTATAAAACATGAAATAGCATATTGTTGAGATTTTAGTGTACGCCGACTGCACAGTGCACATTTCATTTCGATAATGCACGCCAGGATGGCAACGTGTTTCGACATCATTTCATGAAAAGCTTGTCTTTTCTCAGCTGTACCACACTACGGCATATGATGCTTGTCGCTTGTTTACATGCATATCAAAGGTATTAAGCCACATGAAGAGCTAACCGACAAGTCAACATCCAGGTTTGACTTTGAGTCGTTTCGACAGCACGATTACGAACGTTACTGTATCAATGCTCGAGATCCAAACTAATATCGTCCAAACACTAAAGCATTATCCCTATCACACAAAAGAATATAATTCGTCTTTATCACTTCCCATTACCAAGAGCTCTAATATTATCACGTCACTCGTGCTCGAGGATCAACCGGAGCTCGGAGACCACCCATGGTGTCTTTGTGGTCCTCCCGCTGGTTCAGCAACACTTCACCTCTAGTCAGCCGGGTCCCGACCGTGTTGAAGAGCCCCTTTTCACGTCGGAAAGCGGTTATCACACGAGTAAAACATAACCGGCGCTCTCGGGACCGGCCCAAGCCGTGTTCAGTAGCCATAAAAACGGCGCGATGCATGTACATGAGACATTTGGAGGATTATGTGCGAGATGATCTGTCTGATGCATGTGAACAGCCGCGGCCGTCAGAGACGGTACCGCCGCTCGCTGACTGGCCCCGGACCTGAGCCCGCCGTGGACTCTGAGACCTCTTAGACTCTCCACGGAACTGTTTGCCCAGGTGCTGACCAGTGACCACCCTGGGAGGCTCTCCTGCTGAGTGCCCTCTCCACGGAGCTCCATGACAAATCCAAACCGCTCAGGGGCCTGCTCGACACTCGGTTAGCGCTAAAGACAGCGTGATCTCGGCTCTGACCACCGCCAGGTCAGTCAGAGTGGAGGGTCTCGGTGGTTCGGTCGGCGGGTTCGGTGGGTGATACGGATGACTTCACGCTTCTGTCGACGTCCAGCGCCGGTCACGGTTGCACCGCCATTCCCTGAGGCAGAGAGAAGTTGTCAGACCAGACCCGGGGACGGGCACGGAGTGAGACTCCGACTCGGAGACATCGCCGTGTCGCTTGTACCGGAGACATGGTTCCTGTCAGCGCGACCGGTCAAAACCATCCGCAAAATGCAGTATTTTTGTAAGTATGACTGCCTAAAACCGCAACATCAATGGTATTTCACTTTATGAGCATTGACAGGCATATTTTCCGACATGCATCATTCCTGGACATTTTTTGAATAGATTATTGAGCCGTGAATGAATGTACACAAGGGTGAGGCCGCGTGGCTCAAGGTAAAGGCGGCTCCTGTATAGCTATTTGCCGATTCACGGTTTGATGCGCTCTGCAATAACCATCGACACTGAACCCGAACAGGTTCATACCAGATTTATCACGGCAATTACATCGTAAACGTGCACAGTGCGGCCAATGGTACCTAAATCCGTGAGACTGCTGTACGATTTATTGGGCCTCTGTGTCCGTCTCTGAGGTCGCTGTTTATTGAGGCGGTGTTACACGGGTGCGGGCTGTTCTCGTTGTATAGTGCGATCAATACCTTTGACGTCCTCCGGTCGTCAGATCGAGTCGTGTGTCGGCCATCAACAAGTGTCCCTGTCCTGCAGGGGCGGAGGGTCCGAGGATACCGGCTGTGCATCCTGTTTTCATGAGCGGACTCGTCAATGCAACACTGCAAACATATGGATAAATAATATTTTATTTGGTTGTTTATAATAAAAAATCAGTTGTTGGTCCAAATGAGATAAATAAGATAAATGACATCTCCCTAAAACTATCGTAAAAGTGGGCAGGTGTGTGTGGAATCATTCATCAATTCGTTTAGTGCCTAAACTTGCCGGAAAAGGTTTAGCAAACCATTATAGCCTAGCCAGTTTAAATTATTTTAATTATAGCAAAGAGCTTTCTATTACAAGCATAATAAATCTAATATGACTAGTTGATGTATAGAATAGAACATATGCACCCTGTTGATGTTAATCCAAGTGTCTCATGAGCTCAAATGGGAAGGCGCCAGAGACATGTTGCTCTATCTGATCGGAAGATAGCCATAGCCATTTGAGTAGACATTTAAAACGACGGCCAAGGCCGTTTGATTCCGTGATCTGCTATCTGTTCGTGCCACGCCCAACACCTCATCTGCATGAGACTTTGGAGCCCATTTGTGCTCGCGCAGGTAAAAACCCACCTGGGTCGACCACCGGTCTTGCCATGAGCTCTTGGAGACAGGCGTGAGCTGGTGCCGCATCATTTCTGCAAACAGAGAGCAGCTCCCGGTCACGTAAGAGGCAGGAAGAGTGGAGTTAACCGTCACCCAAGGACGGGTCCTTCTTGAAGCAGCGCTGAGGTCAGTTGTCAAAACTCAAGGACGGCACTCAAGGACGGTGGGTAAATGCCTACAATAACGAGAAACGCGATTAAAATAAGATATAAGAATATATAGAAATATATAGAATATATAGAAATAAGATATAAGATATAAGATATGAGAATAATTGCATATCTCCTTTTCCATCGCCACCAAATACCGCTGTTACCTAGCCTAGGAATCGTTCTATCTGTGATCTGTATGTCTTCTACAAAAGATGCATGGCGTTCCATTGCATTATCACAGAACAGCACGTCGAAATTAATTGTTCCACTGTCCTAGTTTAGTTGATTTCACCATTACCACTGTTATGCTGTCGCCACCAGGTTCGATGTTCTGCTACAGAGTCTGTCACCAGGACAGCTCAGCAGGACTCTGTTCACCGACTGGCTGTCATACAGTCCCTCCCCCTATCTCTTCCTCCTCCCCCTCCCCCCATCGGCTGGCTCGTGCCGTCGTCACGCGGCAGGCAGCCACTTCAGATGATGACCGCTGGAACGGTCGGCAGAAAGCTGCACGGGCCACCCGCCAACAAAAAGAATGACCGTATTTACCGTCAGACCAAGTCATGCACGACGCACGTGAGATGGTGGCGCAGGGTGCGGACGGTGAGGACAGGGCAGCGTCCAGGGCGGAGAGGGACAGTTTTGGCAGTAGAGTGGGACCAGAAAATGTAAAGGACTAACGCGTAAAGTGGAGGCAAAATATGGTTTATATCAAGAGGAAGGGAAAAGGCGCTCTGATGACAGGGCAAGAGCGGTTTAGATCATGCTGAACATTGAACGTGGAGGCCTGACGACGAGTTGGATAGGTGTGACGGCTATCTGTTCCTCTCGTCTCTATATCTTACCTCTCCTGGTCGTTTGGTGGGCCGACCTGACGCCCCTACACATGGCCTCAGGGGCTGGGCAGGTCCCCGAAGTCGGAGCAGGTCACACTGATGCCCTCGTCTGGATCTGAGAGCAGCACATCGAAACCATCAGGCAGGTGGAAGTCCGTCAGCTCGTCTAGACTGTCGAGTGGATCAGACGCGTCCAGGGTGGCGTCCCGGAACATGACGGAGCTGGTCGGTGGTGCTGCGACCGCCGCGGTCTCTGGGGGAGAGGGTACCGGAGGAGGAGGCGCCGGACTGACTCTCGGTGACCCCCCGGATATTGTTGAAGACCCCGAGGAGGCTGACGGCGCCGGTGACGGCGGCGGCTCCTGTTCCAGCGCCGCGCCCAGTGCCTGGATGTAACTCACCGCCAGTCGCAGCACCGTCACCTTGGTCAGCTTCTCACCCCGCTCCAGCAGCGGCGCCGGCAGCGCAGACTGCAGCACCTCGAACGCGCGGCCGATGTCCTTCATGCGCTCCCGCTCGCGGAAGTTGGCCGTCTTGCGTCGGTACTTGCTGAGAGGCGCTGCACGCTGTTTGGGGCGCGGCGCGCGCGGCTCGGCACACCGGCGCTCCGTTTCTTGCCGCTTCTGCAGTGAGCGGGCCCGCAGACTGTAACTGCGTCCGACGCCGGCGATCGGCGACTGATCAGACTCTGACGGTTCCTGTGTCAGCGTCATCGCGCTGCTGAAGTTATCCTTCAGTCGCTGTGCAGGATCTGGAGTCACCTAAATCGAATCTCAGACGTCTAAACTCGGCTCGTATCCGCCGACGTCACCTAAAGCTGTTGGATCGGCCTCTAAGCCACTCACGACCGTTTCCGTGGAACCTCGTTTACGCTCTCGATAGCCAAGGAGGAGGCGATCCCGCTGCTGCCGTCGCTGCCCCGTCTCTGGCCAGACTGGCTGGCGGCTCGGCGCCGCGCGGCCGACCCGAGGTGCGCGTGGGCGACACTTGAAGGACCGCGGCGCGATCAGGCGCTCAGTGTTTGGGTTCTGCCCAGCTGCTAGCGCTGGCCGAATTGCGTAATCACAGCGGAGGCGGCGGCGGCGGCAGCAGCCCGGCGTGGGAGGCCTCATTTGCCGTTTTTAGTATTTATGGTCTGGTTAGCTCGCGTCACCGGGCTCGAGCCGGTTGTGTATCAATTTAGCGTGGGTTTGAAGGAAAAGGTGTGAGGACGTCTTTACGTGTCACAGCGTTCGTAGGAGACCGGTAAATTTAGACCGCTTGACACACGTCTGCCTTGTAACAGTCAAACTATTTCAGCTACCACACCAAAACCGCTGCACCGCTGTCGAGGAAAATTGGAACGCGAACTGTGAACTTATCATCAAGCCCGTCACCGTGACTTTTATGTGCAGCGGCGTGCCTACCAATGTCAAATTTGTTTTTGATAGACATCCGGCTGGGTTTTTGCGCAGTTTTTCGGCCCCCGTTTGTCAGTTGTGTCCTCACTGCCGCGGAAACCGTGACAAGCGGCTCCGATGGCGCAGATCAAACGTCCTTTTCCAGTCAACAGATGGAGGCACGTTTGTTTTTCAGCTGTGAACTGACTGGTTTTCCTGAAGCTCAGTAGCGCTATCAGTTCCGCAGTAATGGCACGTCAAATCGGATTGCATTCAGGTAGGTACGATTCGGCCATCCCGTCTGACACCCCCGGTGCCGGTGTGGGGCCTCGCTCGCGGTCGACGGTTATTTGCGTGCGTCCGAATCCGTTAAATCATATTGCTTTAAAAATAAAGCGATAGTTGCAATCAAATGCATAATTCAGTGAGCGATAAATACCAATGAAAATGCTGACGGTCCGAATTAGGCACAGTTTGTTAAAATCCCATTGAAAAGTTTCCATCAATGACCAAACTTACAGTTGCACAACATCGCAATGTCGAGGCCACGAGACTTCATGCGGCTTCCGGCTACCTCCTTTGTCACGTTCGATTTTAAGTAGGAAAGAGCTTGCATCATTTTAGTTACGAGAAACGCTTCAGAAATAAATGGCTATATACTGTTCAACGGCCTACGGATATTGGTAGCTGATGGCGTGCTTGAAATGCATTATTATGTCGAATGCATGCCAGTGGTTTTCAATAATGTCTCTGAGGCACCGCCTAAAGTACCCAACAAACACCTAACTACTTAATCGACGTTAGAAGACGATCCATCACGAGTGTACATAAGTCCATCTCTTCTCTGCCAGAGCCCTCCGTGTGGTTGGCAGTCCCCACAATACCGATCCGTTTATCTGTCTGCCGCGCCACATTTGACCCCGGGCCGGTCACAACCGCAGCGGTCAGGTCGTTCTGTTGACTCTGACGCGCCCTGAGCCCGTGAAAATCGCTGCTAATCGCAGAACGCGGCGATAATCGGCCACTCCGGTGCCTTCGGCGAGCCTCCCCACATGTATTAACCTTTGGCTCGCCCTATCAAAACGGCATCAACGAAGAAATAATTAAATCGACGGAGTCTGAGGTCATTAGAGAGTGAGTGGCGTGGTGGGCGGGTCCTCGAGATCGGCTCCCCCTGTGGTGGCCCAGCCGTTCAGAATGGATTTCCTATTTGGTGGAGGAGCTAGACAGACAGTGCGTGGGCTTCGGCTTCCACACGCTCTTTTGTCGGCCGCAGCCGCCCCTGTCCCGGATTGGCCTCTAGATGAATGATGGGCGTGGACTGGGTCGATAGAATGGGGAGGAGCCGCCGTCTGACAGATAGACAGACGAGCGGAGAGCCAGACGGACAGACAGACATACGGACAGACAGACAGACATACGGCAAGGCAGACGGACAGACGGCGAGACAGACTGACAGACAGCGAGACAGACGAGCAGTAAGACAGACAGACAGACAGACAGACAGACAGACAGACAGACAGACAGACAGACAGACAGACAGACAGACAGACGGACAGACAGACGGCGAGAGAAACAGACGGACAGACCGACAGACAGACAGACAGACAGACAGACAGACAGACAGACAGACAGACAGACAGACAGACAGACGGCAAGACAAACAGACGGCGAGACAGACAGACGGGCAGACGGACAGACGACAGACAGACAGGCAGACAGACAGACAGACAGACAGACAGACAGACAGACAGACAGACAGACAGACAGACAGATAGACAGACAGACAGACAGACAGAGTGGCTAGACAGACAGACGGACGGACAGACAGACAGATAGCTGACAGGACAGGGGGACGAGCAGTATGAGGCTCGTGTAATATGATTCAAAGTAGCGTCATTATCCGCATACAAAGTGCAGGCATGCGACGCGTGGGCTAAATTTGCAGTCATCTCACAACCATGATGATTGATGCTAAGGATACACCCTATTGCGCAGATCCCACAACTGAGCATTATTGTTGCATCTGATCTTGAGCAAACGGTAAATCCAAAGTAAGTCCTTCGGTCGACCTGCACAGTGCACATAGGAGTCCTCTTGCACCGCAAGGACATTGTCAATCAAAAATACCTATCTGATTTTCCTTGCGCTATAAATTGTAGTCAATCTGAATATACCCATTGGGTCCGTGATTGATTTGTGTTTCGCCTTTTATTCAGAAGGTCCGCAATTTGTCGGCGCCCACGCTGGACGCTTTTGAAGTCGATGCTGGTTGACACTGATAGCCACACTGAGTGATATACAGCGGTGGCGTGGCACCCAATTCGCTCTAAAATGACGCTAGCTCAACGCCAATCGATAAGGGGACAAATGTCTAACACATGTAGGTAACCATCATGCGGCATCAAGTAATGGTGTCAAGTCTTTTCTTTTCACCTGTAAAGTAAGTACCTACAGCAATGCATCTATCAGAAACTGAGCAGCGTCCTTATCTCAAAGCATGATGTGGTAGCACTAGTACGTGCACAACACTTTTGACGTTGGATAGGTGTATGACGTTTACCACGAACATTTTACCTCACATACTTCTAATCAATTTCCTTGCTTATTTTTAGATAAAGGCACGCCAATCAAGCATATCCAAGGGCGTGCGGTGTGGAAACACAGGTGATGTCATTCTTCCAAGGATACTCCAGCACTAAGGAGCAGTACCACCTCGTGTAGGTCGGTCCATTTGTAAACGCCTATACCACCCAATCAGCAAAACTGCTCCTCCCTCCGAACAACCTATAACCAGGCAGGAGAAGGATAATTTTCATTCGCCCTCCTCCTGAGCTTGACTTAGCATCCCACTGAAAAGGCATACGCTCAGATAAGCGTTGTAGGCGTTGAGCCCACCACCAGCTGGAAAATCATATGACTTAAATTTATATTTAGGTTCCTAACACGAGAGTATGTGGGAGTTCCTTTGAGCTGACAGGTAGCATTTCAGGCTTCAGCTCCACCTAAGGATTGCTATTTCGGTCGCTAAAGTAATGTGCAGCGCATTATATGACGATTGACGGGCGGTCATGCAGCGTTACTGAAGTCATATTTTACGCGTGTCTGATCTGACGACTGCCATTAGCCCTGAGAATGTTCTACGTGGGAGGACGAACCTGAAGGATTGTGAAGCCTGCCTGCAACCACGTGGACCACCGCGAGGGAGAGACTATTAGAGCGTAACCAATCTGTATTACGTGTAAATGACGACTTCCGGATCCACTCGCCAATCGACCGCACAGTTCGAATGGGGTATTTCGTCGAAATCCATAGTAATTTATTTGGATCAAACTTGCAGGATAGATGAACGCGATTAAATGGCTGGCAATTCGAGATCGTATTACTGAGTTACGTCGATGGTGGCATGTGGGAATATAAGTGCCAAAATAAAATCTGGTTATCCTAATTGCATGACAATGGTCGGGCCTAAATTGCGCCAATTCGATAATAGTATAGGGCATACTGGCTGTTGAATTGTTGCTCTATACCAGGGGTCGGCAAATGGTGGGGCATGCCCCCTTTGGGGGTAATGGAGCCCTTTCGGTGGGGGTAATGAGGGATTCTGAGAAAACCTATCTTTTTAGTTAGTGGCTCCATTGATGGAACCCTCGTGACTATTGCATCCCAAGAAGGGGACACAACCCCGAATGACCTGCCGACCACTGCTCTATACCACTAACAGTTTAAGCTATGAGCATCTGAAGGGCTGACCCATGTGGTCAGACGGTGCCAATCGCTGTTAATTGTCATTGTCATGAAAACTTCAGGTGAAAGGATCGAACGGTGTCCGGCCGACACTGGTAGACGAGTGCAATTTGACGGCCAGTAACGCAACTTCGCATTCGAGCCGTTTGAAGGTCTGTTTGAAGGCGTTTGAAGGCGTTTGTTTGAAGGTCAATTCGTCCCATAATTCGTACACTAACCATTATATGCAGTGCAACCTGTCGCCCACCTCTACCCACTGACCTATCCTGCACCCCTACCTGCCGAGCGACCTCTCAAGCCATCGACCAGCCCCGTGCCTCCATCCAGTGAGCTATCCATACCCCACCTACGATGACCTATATAGTTACCTACTGCACCCCACCTTCAGTGACCTTTTTACCCGTACTTCCACTCAAGACCCGTACCCCAACCCACGGTGTCCTGACCCCGTATACCTCCACCCAAGACCCGTACCCCAACCTGCGGTGTCCTAACCCCGCACCTCCACCTGCAGTAACCGTCGCACCGGCCGTCCTCCGGGACCGGGCGTGTCCGGTCCCGCCTCTCTCCCGCTGACCCGAGACCCACGTCACTTCCATCAGCTATATCTGCCCATCACACGCACTGCGCGCGCGCAGGGCGGGCCAGGGCGGGACGCACAATACAGGCTCGTTACTGTCAGGAGGTGCTCCCCGCGCAGAACTGCACCACCCCTGACGCGCGAGATTGGCCATGGGCGCCGCCCCGGATATTGGCCGGGTGAGAGTGATAGAATGGACGTTTTTGTTTTGTGAGCGCACTTATTGTTTTAGGTGATTTTCTAGTGAACTTATTCCGTGTGAACTTATACTATCTTGCTGATATGTTTGGCAAAGTTATCTAATTATTTGAAATCTACCGACAGCTGAGTCATGCATATCCCCTAATTGGTCACAAAAAGTGTTTTAT